GCGCGAGACCCAGCGCAGCTTCTCCCTGCCCTGGGCAGCCCTCACCACCTCTCCTCGCCGTCCCTGCTCCTGGCGTCTGCCTGGGGTGCGCAGCCTGGCTCTACACAGGACTGCGCCCCGACCCTCGGAAAGGGCAGAATACGATCCCCGTGGGCAGCAAAGGCGCAGAGAAAGGGCTTTCTCGGGGCAGACGGGCAGATCTACACTGCAGATTATCTCAACTGGATGGAGGGGAACATAGCTGGAAGGTTTTCTTAGTCCTGCACATCCCTAGTTGATCACTAAAAACCTCCGCTGCTGAGCAGCCGCGGAGAGGGAGGAAGGAAACAAAGGGACAAATGAGGAGCGACAACCTGCGAGTCACCCATCTCTATTCTTCATCTGTTTTTTTTCCTCTTGCCTTGCCCCCAGAGGAACAGCAAGGCTGGAATCTGGGACAGCCCTACAGACGTCCCCGTTCCTTCTTGCAAAAGCGTTTCTCGCTGCTAAGACCAAGCGAGTGGGAAAATGGAAACGGCTCCTCCTCCCCCGGGGTCATTTGTCATGCTACAAGCGAGATTTCACAGGCACTTCTGTGGTGACAGACGGCAAAGTGACTACAGAAGGATTCCAAGCCCAGCATGGGGTCAGGCTCTGCAGGAACCTCTTCCCAAACCCTTTTTTTTTTTTTGGAAAGGGCTCGTTCCCAGGCCCACAAACCCAGCCAGCCGGACCCCGCGGCAGCGGGAGGACCGCAAGAGCTGGCGAGGAGAGCTGGAAGGGGGATCGGGGCTGGGCAGGCGGACAAGCTCACCAGCTGACGCAGAAGGTGAGGCAGCCGATGTTGGAGATGATGTCGTTGAGGCGATGGTAGACTCCCCCCCGGTGCTTGAAGTAGACGTTGAGCTTGGTGAATTCCAGCTGCACGTCATTGACGTCGTGCAGGAAGAGCACGAGGATACCCACGTTGTGGTACCTGTGGGAAAGAGAGGAGCAGGGAGGGAGACGCGTGGGGTGGTGGGTCAATGGCAGCACCCACCACCCACAGTCCATCACGCCGGGAGCGGACAGACTCCCTGAATAATCCAGACAAGCAAACCTGGCACGGCACAGCCTGGCACTGCGCAACGGCCCAGGAGCGCTGGGATTGCTGCGACGGCATGGAGGTAGAGGAGAACCCACACCAACCCAGCAAGACTCCTCCTGCCCCACACCCATGAGATGCCCATGAGCACAGAAAGGACACAGCTTTTGCCGTGTGGCTGCCCATGGCTGGCCCGGGCACGCTGCAGAGGGGCCATGTCACAGCCAGGGACCTCACCTGAAAGCGTAGGAGAAGGCTATGAGGGTCAGCGTGACCACGTGGTGGAGAAGCATGACAACGGAGTCCTTGCGCCACGTGTCCATGTAGGCGGTGGCATAGATGGAGTGCCCGTAGAAGCTGCACTGCAACAGGTAGGCGATGGCGATGTCCGTGGGCACATCCATGCCCTTCTTCCAGTCTGGGGTGGGACAAAGACAGGCGGGTGAACCCGCAGCACAGAGCCCGGCACAGGAACGGTGGGGAGCCGGCAGGAGGCAGAGCCGCCCCAGGCAGCCCCAGCCCCTCGCAGCGCTCCGGTGCTCCCATCCAGGACCCCACAGATACGAAGGCTGGAAGACAACCCAGGTGTCCTGCCCCCCAGACTCTGTGTTAGACCATCTCCCTCTCCTACATCTCCTGGTGAAGCTTCGATTTACTTCTCTCCTGCTTTAACTCCTCAGTCCCTCCGCAGCCGGCACGTCCCAGCCCTGCTGTCTGCAATAGCCACTAGGTGACTCCCTCTGTAGCGAAATGAAGGCAGACAGCCCGTCGTGCCCTTTCTGTACCCACAGCATCATAGAAAAGGCAATTTAGGGGTTCAGACTTCTCTCTCGCTCACCCCAACTCCCCTTCCCTCGTCCAACCCAGACGCACCGCGAACCTGGACATCCTAACCCGTACCCGCTTCTCCCTGGTTCTTACTGTACCGTAAAAGACGGACGGTGGGTCATAGAAGAAGGGGTAGTCGGTGAAGAAGAGCAGGTAGATGCCATAGGACCAGGATAACGTGTAGAAAAGCAGCTTCCAGGCACTCTCAGGCATCTTGGCGGCATCTTTCGGCTGCAAGTTGCACCATTCCCCGAAGGGCTGCAAGGAGAAGGAGCGGTATGGTCACGCAGGGCAAACCGTCGGGCCCTGGGGAGCTCAGGGCAGAGCGCGCCGAATCTCCCAGAGACTCGAGCCCTGCATGCCGCGTGCACTACCGGACAGGGCAAAACTGGGGTCACGAACCCCATTTTTCCAGCCTCACGGAGCCCATTTTTCCAGCCTTCTTTACAGCACGGATGAGGAGGTCAAAGAGGCTCTGGAGAGAGGGCGAAGCAGGGAAAAGCAGGAGGCCAGAGATGCTTCTGCTCAGCCTTGGCCATGGTGGAAAGCTGCGAAAGCGGAGCCCCGCGGAGCCGGCAGAAGCCGACGGCACGTGTCCCACAGCCTGGGCACCGCTCCATCGCCCTCGCTCCAGGAGCGGGGCCGACCGCAGCCGGCTTTTGCAGAACAGAGTCAATAACTAATAAAATTAAAAAAAAAAAAATAAATCAAGCCCTATCTTCGTAAGGAAACCCAGAAGAGGAAGCTGCAACAACACTGCCCTGCGCGCAGGGACCCTGCAGCACCACCAGCTCCCAGAAAAGGGCTTCTGACTGAGGGAGCAAAGGCTTTGCAGAGCCCTGGACACGCAGCTGCTGCTGCTCCCCAACCAGGGTGGCACGAGACCTCCCCCCTACGTGTGCGACCAGTGCTGGAAGGGGACAGATTTGCAGGTAAGGGGTCAGTATGGGTCGGTGTACCAGGTCCTTGTGCTCTCTCACGTTCCCAGCAGTTTTTTTAGCTGACCAGCGCTGAAACGCTGCTGGTTTCAACCCCCCTACGCACAATTTGTGGTTTGCAGCACCCCTCCCACCAGTCGGGACTCAGAAAGAGGAGGCAAAGCCTCCCCAAATATGGCCAAAGCGAGGGAAGGGAGGACGAGCAGTTCTGCAGACTGCTCATCAGAACGAAACTTTCTCACCCCGAGTTCCCCGCGCTCCCATGGACGGCGAGTGCCTCCCGCCAACACTGGCGCTCTGCGACCGCGGCAGAGGCCAGGGACAACGTGGAAACCGCCAGTAAAAGCAAAGCCTCGGTGTTACGCCGTGAAAACGGAGCAGCTGACGCTCCCCTTCACCTCACACCGCGTGCCGGCGAGCGAGCGATGCCACACGCGCCATCCCAGCTCAGCCGGGGCGCCGGGCAGGGATGTTTTCCCGCGGTGGCAGCTGAGCAACGCCAGGCACTGCTTCTGCTTCTCATCACCAGAGCGACAAGAGCCGTATCAGCCCGGTCAAACCGGGAGCAGTCAGCGCGGGGGAGCGCTGCTCAAGGTCCGGAGGGAATTGTCACTGCCTGAAACACAGATAACACCCAAAGGCCCCTCCGCCGCCACGGCTGAGAGCTCCCCAGGGAGAGACCAGATAAGCTCGAGATGAAAACAAAATGCCTGCAAAGTAACCGTACCCTGCCCCGGGTCAGCACTTTCTGTGGCCGCGCTGGGCTCCGGGATGCTCAAAGGCTATATTAAGGCCCCAGCTGTCCCCAGGCAGCGGCTGGTCTGGCTTTTAGCCCCTCTCCGCATCAGATTTTCAAAGGATTCCACTCCAAGCATTGTCCCAGCTTAAAAGTGCTTTTGTTCTGCACCCTGAATTTCCCAGCGCTGGCGGGACCTGGAAGCACCAGCCCCGCAAAAGCTCTGCCAAGTTGTCCGAATTCCCCTCCAGCTAGAGAGAGGGCGCATCTCGCATGCGGAGCACGGCTGTCCTCATTGAGACCGGGAACGCGCTGCTGCCAAGGCGTCCTCCAACAGGAGCCACGGCAGGAAAAAGAGGAGGAAGCTTGAAGGGTGAATAAATAATGCAGAGACAGAAAGTCCTGAGCCCAGAAAGCATGAATTATTTGTGTCTCCATACAGCGGAGCGCAGAAGCAGCTCAGCTATGGGGACAGCTCGCTACGCCACCGTGACATGGAGCTGCGGAGCCCCCTGCCCGCCTCAGCTGAGGCTGAATTTAGGATGCTGAGCTCAGCCCCGCGTCCCTGTCGCAGCCTTGCTGCCCATCGCCAGCCAAGCCAGTCCCCTGCCCGCACGGGGGGAAGGACACCGCGATTCCACCCCAGGCAGAGCTGATGACAAGGACTGTCGCGCCTGGGGCAGGCGCACACTCCCGAGAACAAGAGGAAATGGCTTCAGGTTGCACCAGGGGAAGTTTAGATTGGATATTAGGAAGAATTTCTTTACTGGAAGGGTCATCAGGCACTGGAACGCATTACCCAGGGCAGTGGTGGGGTCCCCATCCCTGGAGGGATTTAAGGGTCGTGTAGATACAGTGCTCAGGGACACGGTTTAGTGGTGGGCTTGGCAGTGTTAAGGTAATGATTGGACCAGATGATCTTACAGGTCTTTTCTAATCTAGGAGGCTCTGTGATTCTGAGATGACCTGCGTTTTGCGGACACACAGACGGCAGCAGCGCAGCAAATTGCCACCGCCAGCCTGCAGTCCTGGCCTGATGGCGGGCACGGCTGGAGCAAAAACAAGACCCAGGGAAGGGGGGACCCCGCTCCAGCTTGTGGTGGCTACTGCTCAGAGAGGTTTCAGCCCCCGACGCACATCCGATTAAAGACAAGTCCTGGGAGAGAGCCACCCTCCTCCCTTCAGTAGCCACGGGGCATCCCAGTCTGTACCCTGAGTGCTGCAGAAATGGGAGACAGCTCTGGAGCGGACACTGGGAGGGGTGGGAAGAGAACCAGCATAACGTAGGGGGCTGAGGGGGGGGGGGGACAAATTAACGTCCCCGGGGAGGCCCCACCAAACCCGGGACTGGGGCAGCACAAGGCAAGGACCTGCGTGGACCAGCCCACGCCATGCCGGAGGCGCATCCGCCCTCTCCCCGGGGGTGGGCGATGCGCAAGGTGTGTGGGGGGGATGTCCTCCCATCACCCGGTTGCCGTTCCCACGGCAACGCTGCAGAGATGCCTGTTGCTACGGGTGACGAGTGCTGCGGTGGGAACAGCGGATCTGGCTCTGGCTGAAAGAGCCCAAGGCTCTTGGCAAGTGATGTAACGGGGCTTCACTTAAAGGGCGACCCGCTCTTC